GTTATCTCGGATGCGAATAGACCGGACGCACGAAAAGGCATTCGGAAACTCGGTCATCCGACCATATGCCGAAATGTCCGCCGCGGGCGGAAAGTGGGTTGCAGGAATGTCCACTTGGGAGTACCCATGCATGGGTGGTAGGTCGCACCTTGCAAATGCTTTCCGCTCCTCGCGATCCTTTACTGGCACCCGACCCTCATCTGTGGTTCGCCGAAGCTAGGCTCTACCTAGCGGACACACCCAGGTAGTCGCCTCAACCGGCGGGGTAAACCAGGTGAGAGTATCGAGTGCTGTGTGTCCCCACACCCAGCAATTCTGTTCCAATACCTATACCTTCCCTCATCCTCCCCCAGCCTCACTATCACCTTCCACTTCAAAAGTCCTACGGAGAGGGCCACATGCAATCCCGTAGGCGGCCCAGGTTAACCCGGATCGCTCTCCCACTAAACAAAGCCGTGACCCATAGTGGAGTTTGGCATCCAACTGGGATGTCCAAACAACCCTATTTAGGGATAGCCCAGCTTACTCCCCCGAGAGGAAGGGGCTAGAAGAGGTGTCCTATATAGATGTTGGGAAATCCGTCCAGCTGCTAGTTTACCATGGCTCACAGATGCAAAATTCGCGAACGAAAAAAACAAAGAACTACAGCAACAAAAACAACAGCAGCCCTAATCTCCACCCCTTCGGACCACCCTTCAGGTTGCTATGGTGAGTTTGCTAACTCTAGCTGCCTGGAATGTTCATTATCTTTTAGATAATCCGAGCAGCTATTGTCCAGAACGGAGGATGACCTTAGCCGCTTGAGAACTGGAGCGCTACAAGGAAGAAATCGCTGCTCAGCGAGACCCGTCTCCACGAAGAAGGTCAGCTGGAGGAGGTGGGTGCAGGGTACACCTTCCGCTGAAACGGTCACCGAAAGGCAGAGCGACGCGACGCGGGCGTAACCTTTGTCATCCGGTGCGACATTGTGGGACGACTGCCCTGTCTGTCGCAGGGCATCAAAGATCGCCTCATGAACCACCATCCGGCTCTTTGGGGAGCCAACTTTGTCCCCATCATCAGTATCTACTCCCCCACTCAATAACCAGCTACGACGAAGCAAAGACCATGTTCTACGGAGATGTACGCGACCTCCTGGCGACTGTGTTAAAGGCAGACAAATTGATTGCCCTTGGTGATTTCAATGTCAAGACCATGCTGCCTGGGAGGGAATTCTGGGTCCCACGGTCTCAGCGGCTCCAATGACAATGGTCTGCTCCTCCTACAGACCTGCACAGAACACCGTCTCACCCTGACCGACGCCTTCTTCCACCTTCCGACGCGGGAAGAGACGACCTGGATGCATCCCGATCGCAGCGCTGGCAGCTGTTGGACTACGTTCTCGTCCGGAGGTGAGACTGACAGGAAATGCTGGTGGTCAAAGTGATCTGCGACGCTGAGGGCCGGACGGATCAGCGTCTCATCATCTTTGAGATAAAAATGCACAAAGCCTATGTGACCGTCGGACCGACACAAAAAGCGGCCTTCTTCAGACGTCGCCGCCCTGTGTAACGACAGCGGAATATGCCGGACGCCTAGATGACTCACAAGGCCGCAGAAATTCAGGGATATGCGAACCACAATGAAACTAAGATCCATTTAACATTAATCGAGGCGGTTCCACAGCCAAAAGAACCAAGTCGCTTCTCAGCTCCGACGGAACATCACTTCTGATGGAAAAATAGCAGATTCTAAAGCGTTAGCCGAACACTTCAGAGGTGTCCTCAAGAGAAATGACTAACTTGGTGGACCTGACGGAAGCCTTCGAGACGGTTAACCACGATGGACTCTAGAAAATCATGCAGCAATTCCGATATCCCTGGTGCGTCAACTTCACGACAGGATGATAGCACGCGTGGCGGACAATGCGACCGTCTCAGAGGCATTTGAAGTGATCAACGGAATGAAGCAGGGCTGCGTACTCACCCCCACCTTCTTTATCCTCATGTTTTCTGCAATGCCAATGAACGTCTACCCTGACGAGCATCCTGGGATCCTCATCGCCCAACCGGACCGACGGCCATCTCAATAGCCGGCACATGCAGGCTCCAACGCGTCTCTCCACGACTACTGTCCAGGATCTGCTCTTTGCAGCCGATTGTGCGCCCAAACTGCATTAGAAGCAGACACGCGTGTAGCATGAACTTCTTCACCTCCGGCTGTGTCAAATTCGGGCCGACCAGCAACTCGGTTAAAACGGGGGCTACTTATCAACCGTCACCCAACGCTGCATTCAGTATTTATTACATTCACGTCAATGGCACCCAACTGAAAACCGTGAACAACTTCGCCTACTTAGGTAGCAGACTCACGCAATGTCAAAGTCGACAGTGAGGTGGTTCATTGGATCTTCAAAGTTAGCCACGCCTTCGGCCGTATGGAATTTCCACGATCTCTACCTCAACACCAAACCCTTCCATTTCAGTTGTCTCCAGCGGATACTAGAGCTGAGGTGACAAGACAGGATCCCCGGCACGGAAGTTCTGGAAAGGGGCCCAAATCCTCATTATCTATGCCCTGCCGAGGCAATTGCAACCATGATGAAGCGGCCACATTATGAGGATGTACGATGAGCGACCACCAAAACGATTACTCTGTGGAGTGTCGCAAGGGGTGCTTGCCGACAAGGAGGTTAAACCCACTGCTACAGGGAGGTCTTGGGGCGACTGGTAATCAGGCCGAAGACCTGGGAATACCTAGTACAGAACGGACCGGCCAGAAGAAGACTGTGACTATGGAGCAACCGGATCGCTGCTGCCAAGGGCAAAAGATAAAGTCTGCAAGCCTCAGGCGTCATAGACCCGCAACGCCGTCACCCTAACCCTACCAAAACGCCCGCGCTTTCAGCAAACGTTCCGTGCGAGTCGGTCGAGTAGGACATCTCCGAACCCAATGCACCAACGGCTCAACAATCCCAGATGCCGCCTCTCGACTGCCCCTGCTCTAGACACGCGGCGTCCACGAACTAGATAATCCTCACCACCGATGACCACAGTCCCGGTGCCCCGTCGCCGTCGACCACCGCTATCTCCAACATCCCTGTCACAACCTCCGCAACGACGACGGCAGCCACCGGTAAAAACACTCCCGACAGCCCGTCGACTATCAACCTCACTATCATCAACCCACCTCCAGCGATGTGGACCCCGTCCCAACATATCCTCATTGCCACCGCACATTTACCCCACGCATCGGCCTGGTCGACCACTTGCGAATCCATGACACAGAGACTGGTGAATCAGTGCCTGAAGAACCAACATCCCCCGCCATCGTCTCAACTACCTGCACTGCCTTCGCGCATGTAAACCCCATGCAGGCTTGTTCGGTCACGTGTGCCTTAATGAAAATCACAGCAGGCATGACCACATCACCATGCATTTCGCCACCAAAATATGCACTAGGCAGAAAAACCTCCAACATCTCACATCATCGGCAACTCTCGCGCAAGCGAGAAGTGTGCTTCTCGGTTCCCTTCGCCATGCCACTCTTCTGCTAAATTTGAGATCCGTACGCTCTATCCGCTTGTGTGAAATCCTGGTGCGTGCATACGGTGGGCCAGGATGCGTGTGTGGCATGTGCAGACGAGCTGTTCTCATCTCTGTCAGCCACCTTTCCCAATCTCAGTATCTGACCTGCTGAAGACTGACACGTTACGCAAAAGGTCGTGGTCTGAGAGGTTGCTAACTGACGCTCCTTCTTAATGGCACCATCGCGCATACGTGAGATCCGAGCCGCCCCTCTTCTGTGTAATCCTGGTGCGTACGTTTGAGGGGCTAGGTCGCGCACGTGGCGTGCGCAGACGGGCTCTATATCTGTGTCAGCAACTGCGCACACTTTCGGCATCAGACATTTGGCCGTCTGGGACAGTAGATTGGTGCTTGAGAGAAGAAAGTGAGGATGAGGTCGACGGTCTTAGCTCATATTCCTCATTATAAACAATTCGACGCCCCTGGATCTATCACGGTGCGCTAAGGGCCGTGGGTTGGAAGGCTGCTAACTGACGGGATAGCTCGGATCCCGCAGTCAGCCCAGTGTGCTTGATGGAGTGGCCAACTGGTGGGCTGAGAGCCGTACTTTGAAGGAGAAGAAGAAGGGCTCACCGAAATAGGTTTATTTAGATGCTGACGTTTCAAAGAGCTTGGTCGGCTGTCCATTGTCAAAGCGTAAAATGCACTTTAAGGACCAGAAATTTCAAGTGGCATGTTGTCTTGGTGGGCCTCAGGCTGATCGATTTTTCTCTCCTTTCGCTGCTTCGGCCTCTCGGGGAATGGTTGACGGGCGTTTTGTCCGCGTGCTTTGTGAGTCACCACTCCGTTGGGGGGAGCTGATTGAACCTTTGTCGGGTGGTCAGTCTGGTGGTTTTTGTTCTTCCTCACCGAGTAAACTCAGCGTCAGGCTATCTCCGTACGGCCTTCTTAAGTCCGGTGTGATTGTTTGGTCCTGAGCTCTACGATTGGGATGACGTAGGACTTTGTAAGCTGCAGGAAGGTCCAGATGCCCGTTGATGGAGTGGGCATCGGAGAACCACGCTTCGAGAGTTAACCAGTTTGCTTTTGTGTTGCCCCGGCCTAAGTTGTTAGCTCTCCTGCAACTTGAAAAGTCCTTTGTCATCACAATCGTAGAGCTCAGGACCAAACAACCACACCGGACTTAAGAAGGCCTTACGGAGACAGCCTGACGCTGAGTCTACTCGGTGAGGAAGAACAAGAACCGCCAGACCGACCACCCGACAAAGGTTCAATCAGCTCCCCCCAACGGAGTGGTGACTCACAAAGCACGCGGACAAAACGCCCGTCAACCATTCCCCGAGAGGCCGAAGCAGCGAAAGGAGAGAAAAATCGATCAGCCTGAGGCCCACCAAGACAACATGCCACTTGAAATTTCTGGTCCTTAAAGTGCATTTTACGCTCTGACAATGGACAGCCGACCAAGCTCTTTGAAACGTCAGCGTCTAAATAAACCTATTTCGGTGAGCCCTTCTTCTTCTTCCTCTTCTTCTTCTTCTTCTTCCTCTTCTTCTTCTTCTTCTTTTTCTTTTTCCTCTTCTTCTTCTTCTTCTTCTTCTTCTTCTTCTTCTTCTTCTTCCTCTTCTTCTTCTTCCTCTTCTTCTTCCTCTTCTTCTTCTTCTTCTTCTTCTTCTTCTTCTTCTTTTTCTTCTTCTTCTTCTTCCTCTTCTTCTTCTTCTTCCTCTTCTTCTTCTTCTTCTTCTTCTTCTTCTTCAAATCATCAACCTGTATCTCTCAACTTTGCCAACATGAGCCGTACTTCAACTGCCCCTTACTGTGGCCTCTGGCACCCGCATTTGATGGGATCCGAGTCGCTCCCCTTCTTTTCTTGGTACATAAAATCCTGGTCAGTGTCTGTTGTGGACCAGGGTGTATCAGGGACATTTTCGACCAGGTAGTGCAGTACAATACCTTGAGTACCCGACCCACCATTAGATAATCAGCCTGCGCTTCTGCTCTTTTAGCCACTGACCTTGAGCATCTGTTACCCATTCAAGTACAGCGGCTTATCGCATTGAGCATTACGTTACCCGATGTGTCCAATACTTCACTTATCGCATGCAGCTGGGTCTACTACTGCTCCATGAGGTAAGCGCCGTCGTAACTTGAGAACGAATATATTTACAGCAAAACAAACTTGTACTGCATCTATCTCAACACCCTTCATACACACAGCGTTCAGATTTATATCCTGTCACACATCGGCTTATCGAGCTTCTGTATTGCCATTCCTAGCGCGCTATCTTTCGTGCAAAGAGACAGAAATACAGAAGCTTAGACTTGAACTATCCCCATAATAATCCTTTCTTTGTGTTAAACTTTGACTCTGGAATAATCTATTAACTTATTTACTGCCCATAATGAATGGAGCCAACTTTTTGCTGAAAATTTTGAACATATGATTTCAAAATAAAGCGCATCCCTCTCTCCCTCTCTCTCTCTCTCTCTCTCTCTCTAAATAGTCACGACATCAGGAGGTGGGCTTGAGCGCAGTGGCTGACAAAGCTAAGCAGCCATGATAAGAGCCGTTGTTGAGGGCGGAGTTGTTCCATTAACCGGCAGCATCTGAGGTCACAAAATCCAGTGCATCGTGATAAGTCCAAGCCACTTAGATTACGTATAGCAAGGAACGAGCCGATTGGTCATGAGGGAGGATGCACCAGGCAACTGCATACTTACACCTTCTCAAATGGACCGAATGTGGGAAGCGCAGATCATAGCGCCTGATGGGGGACCGTGGGCTGTAGAATAATGTGCCAGGCAGTTACCGTCTCACACATTTATCATCCCTCGCCTACCGTTTGCGTAAGCCTAGACCTATGACCCCTTGGTGGCCAACCAGAATGCCGAAGAACATAAAGAGTAATTTGCCTTGGTGTTGGACTTCATCGAAAAGCATAGAGTCGTCGTCAATCCCTCAAAGTGTGTTTATGGTGTGCCTTCCCTCGGATTCTTTGGCCATCATACCGAGTCAGATGATTCGCATCCCCTCCCCTCCAAGGTCGAAGTCATTCGTCATTTTTCCCCACCAACCCCTAAGCGTCAGCTGCAGCGTTTTCTCGGTATGGCCAACTTCTACAGCCGGTTTCTACCGAAATGTGCCGATCTTCTGCCGCCACTCACCAACATACTTTCTGGTATGAAAGGTCTCCTTGAGCTTACTGGTGACGCACTGACTGCTTTCGAGAGAATCAAGGCCTCCCTTACTGGCGCAAACTTGCTCACACATCCTGCTCCCGAAGCCCGCTGTACCTCATGGTTGACACTTCGTCCGTTGTCGTAGGAGCAGTCCTCGAACAACACCTAACGGACTGCACACGACCGTTGGCTTTCTTATCTAGGAAACTGTCGTCTGCTGAGGCGGGATATAGTACTTTTGGCCGTGGACTTCTTGCCACTTACCTGGTTGTGAAACAATTTCGACGTATCCTTCAAGGTCGTGAATTCACGATTTTTACGGACCAAAGCCACTTACATTACGTATACGAGCACATTTGGACAAATACAACCCGAGAGGGATCGCTAACTTGGACTACACTTCCCAATTCACCGTCGACATCCGCCACATTGATGGAGCGAAGAATGAGGTGGCTGGCATGCCGTCCAGACTTTCCATCTCTCTCAGGGGATTGACGTTTGTGCCATGGCGAATGAGCAACGGCGTGTTGGTTGTCCGGGCGACGATTCCGTTAGTGGTCTTCAACTCGTAGAAGTCCCTTTGACCACCAATACCGACACAGTCCTGTGTGACGTCTCGACTCCCTTTCATCGCCTTTTTGTGTCCGCCTCGATGCGTCGAGTTGTTTTTTAAACTCTCCATGGACTCTCCCATCCCGGAATCCGAGCCTCGCAAAAGCTCCTCGCGGAAAGGTTTGTCTGACCTGGCATGAACAAAGACTCCAAAAATTGGGCGCGTTTGTGTCCGAATTGCCAGCACAACAAGGTGCGACGTCACAGCAACGCCAAATCAGACAAATTTCCTAGCCCCGACGCACGGTTCAGCCATGTGCACCTAGATGTTGTGGACCCCTTATCTCCATACAATGGCTATACTCACCCACTTACCTGCGTTGATCGGTACACCCGCTGAGCTGAAGCCATTCCTCTGCCGAATGTGCAGACGGAAACCATCGTAAAGGCCTTCGTCAGTCGTTGAGTCGCCATGTTTGGTGTCCCCTCCACGGTTACGACTGATCGTAATGCCCAGTTTGAGTCTGAACTCTTCCAAACGCTCCTCTACTTTTCTTGGCTGCACGCGCATTCAGACCCAGCTGCCAACGGTATGGTTGAGCGTCTTCATCGTCAGCTAAAGACCGCCTTGCGTGCCGCAAAAGGACCAGGAAACTGGTCAGACCACCTCCCTCTTGCACTCCTCGACATTCGCGCGGCTCTGAACTCGGATATGGGCTGTAGCGCAGCTGAACTAGTTTTCGACAATACCCTCCGACTGACAGGCAAGATGGTCACCCAAACCTTTCGTGATAGCGACGAGACCCCTGACAATTTTGTGCACCGTCTGCAGCAATTCATGCGCTTGCTTTCCCCGGTACCACCTGGAACTCCAACAATCGAGTCTTATGTCGAAAAAGGTTTGGAAAACTGCACTAATATGTTCATCCGGTGTGACCGTGTGCACCAGCTGCTGGAATCACCAAATGAAGGACCGTCCCATGTGCTCGCACGCAACACCAAGACCTGCCGGATCCTTCACGGTGACAAGAAGGACGTAGTCAGTGTCGACCGGGTCAAGGCTGCTGTTCTGGAGGAGCCGCCGGACCTACCATGAAGAAAAATTGTGCTGACCCCCTTAGCCCCTGTTCCTCCACGTCCACTATCCCCTGCTTCCCCATCTTCCCTACTTCCTTCTTCTTCCCTTCCCTTGTCCTCTATCCCACCGTTCCGCATACTTCTACTCCCTGCCTGCCCACAGCATCCAACTGCAACCTCATCCTCCTCCATCGTAGTATGCACTTAACCCTCTTCAACTGTACCTCCTGCTTATACCACTCTCAGTGGCTGTCGCGTTCATTTCCCTGACCGTCTAGCTACGCACTTCCTATAGACTTATGCATATCCTCCTGCGCCGTTTTATGTCGCCCCCCGGTCTCGAAAATGCCTACTGTGGCGAGGTACCAGACTAATTCACCTTTGACTATCTAGTCCCGTTTTCTTTTGTCGAACTGCCTGTTTTGAAGTGACTTAAACTACACGGCTGAACAACTCCCGCTTCGTTGACGTGCTCCGCTTTCGTACTCTGCTGTCAGGTCATTTTACTCTCCGAATATCAATATTATTCCCTAAACGGTTTTGCTTACTGCTCTTAATACTTAGGGCTCCGAGATATCACTCATTAGTCCACGAGAACATTACGTCAAACTAGCAACGCCGATAAGACAAGAAGACTTTATAGACGCGGACGGTCGAACGCGCAGCACTGATGAAATAGAGTGACGTCAACTCTCATGTTGTGACTCATTTGGTGAGACCTAGCCACAACCCCAAGTTCCACGGGGCAGGAATGCTCGCGAGGGCGACAACTGGGCAAGACGCGACCTGCTCGATTCGTGATTCTCTAGCCCTCAATCCATCTTCAAGTGCATTGATCTTTCCTTCTACTGGGCGGGAGGATTGGTCATGTAGGAAGGTCCCCGGCTAAACACTTCTTCAGTTCATAAGAAGAAGATGCGACCGTTGGAACAAGGGGTTTATTGGCTTGACGCTTCGGAGTATCACTCGAACAGAACAGTCGCAGATAAGGGCGATGGGGACACAAGGAGTGCAGTATTTATGGGCCGAAAGATCCATTGTCACGGTCAGAGATGTCTGGAATCTTTTACTGGACTTGGTGCAGTTACGGACAAAGAAAATACGTCGGAGAAACTGCGAGGACACGAATGGCAGAAGAAGCAGCAGCAGTGAGGAGGAATGACGTCAACTCTCAAGTCGCGACCCATTCGACGGGACCCGGTCATTCCTTCAAGTTTGACTAATCCAACATTTTCGCAAGTAACGACAACCGCGTGAGTCACAAGCTGCCTGAGTCATGGTTCTCCGGCCCCCGGTCGATCACCAATCGCAATGAACTTCCGGTCCCCTATTGTGTGCTGAGAATTTGCAAGGGCAGAGTGAATAGCCATGCGAGGATGGTGCGGACGATCGACAGTTCCAGCGGCAGCGAACCAAATGGTCGAGTAATTATCACGCCAAGAATCTGCAACGGTGGTTACATTTCGACATTTAACGACCCGGGCGCAGACTAACGAGCAATCATTGCATCAGTTTCGAACCCCAGAGATGAATGTGGGAGCTACCATTTATTTTAGGCACGTGGTTGTGTGACAACTATGACCTGTAAGCACTACAGTCATTGTTCCTCCATCACCTCTATCTGCGACTTTCGCTTACTATGGGTTTGAGTGAGAATCCGCAACGTTAGGCCAATAAACCTCTTGTTCCCGCGATCACATTCTATCAACTGTTTCCTGGAACTCGCCTCTTCGCTTACATCGGCGCTGCTTGCGGTGGCAGAACTGCGATCAAAGAGCAGCGTAATGATGACGGCAATTCCTTTCGCCGATGGTGAAATCGCGGTAATCATCACACCAAATATGACCGTCTGTGATGAATACTGGGCCCCTGTGCATTCACTACCCCTAATGTGTTGCTTTCCTCGACGATGGGTTCGAATGTGAATCCTAAAGGTCAGGAAAATAAGATCCCAGCACCAGCAATTGAGTCGCCTTCTTCACAATGGAGGCACGTTGACATGTCATCTACGTTGCTGGCGCTTGGTATTCTTTGTCTGCTGATAGCCTTTCCGTTTCGGTAGATATGAAGATGTCCTACCGGGGCAAACCAAGGCTAGGATGCGTGTTTCAGTGAGAACAAAAGGTAGGGTTAACCTCAGTGGCTTTATTGGTGATGGAGGGGGGATAGTTTCGACCCTTCCCCACTAATGCGCTAAAGCGCGTCGGCGGCAGTAGATATCGGTCAGATGTGGATACGTAGCCGCGCCTGAGGTGAACAAACCCCAATCATGTGCAATACGGGGCGGGTGGTAACAGGGGGTTTTTACAGGTGGGGCCGGGGAACGCACAAGCGAAAAGGTCAAGTAATTGTATGCAAATAAGCTATCTGGTATGCGCGTTTGTACTTTGAATGTTTGAGAAATAGTTGCTCTAATCCCTAACTCAAACCCCTAACCCTAACACCTAACCCTGACCCCGAACCCTAAGCTCTAGCCCCCCAAACCTAGCCCTAACGCCCACCCTAACCCTTAATCGCAGCCCTAACCCTGAAACATCCAACGCGAAAGTTAGAATGAGACTACAAACCAAAAGTTAAGGACTATCGGTATTGGGCCAAAAAAGAAGACACGACAACAAGGAAACAAGGCCGCCAACAGAACACATACCGCAACGCACAACAACATGCCAACGTAATCACGCCAACTCAAAATAATTAAGTAGGTCAACAGTATTGTGTCCATCAGGTGCGGCTACATAATTACATCTAACCTAGATATCATGCACACGCGAGAAACTGCACACCCAACCCGGAGCAGATAGTCGGACTAGTAGGACCGACATTTGGCAGAAGCCTGTTGCTGTAGGGGTGTGGTTAGCTTTGACAATGACACCGCCGCAGTTGGTGAGGCCAGTTCAGAGAACCCACACAAATGCCTGTTAAACGCAATCCACTTTCGTGCCACCAGAGTTAACCCCCTCCCGCCCCAATTTACACGCTCGTGTTACTGACATGTCCCTATCTCGAGGTCATTATTTGAACCTCGGACGTTGTAATCACTACTCGGCAGCAAGCCAGACAGCTGAAAAATCTGTGGCATTTTTGAAGTATTCTAGATTTTTAACGCACTTCCCACACTGTACAACAGCACTTTTATGAATGACCAGGTTGGAATTGTCATCTACCTGCATCATTCCACTCGCCCGGGGGCGTCCAGATTAGTTTCTACTTTCTCAAAGCGAGAAAGCTAGACTGAAATGTTGAATATATGAAGGAGAAGTCTCAAAGCAGACTGCTGTCTTGCTGTAGATTTCTACGAGCCCATCACAGTGATGTCGGTTCCCTGCCTAGGATGGAGTGTGTCGGAATGAAAAAAAGGAGGAAATGCATGCAGAAACTGTGAAGGACCTGTATATTGACAGTGAGAGAGGATTATCTAGGCAGAAATCTTGCATGCGAAAGCGAGGAGACTTTAAAGGTGGGAGAAATAGATGCTGCTGGGAGTTGGCTGTGCGCTTGAGGCAGTATGTCAAATCCTATCCCCCGGTTGCGCCCGGCTGTCAAGCCTAAAGGATAAGCATTTTTAAAATTTTGTACCCTCAGGCTGGCTGGCGAACGCTTGTTTGTGGGAGCTAGCACCGATAGTACTTGATAACTATTAAGTTGTTTTAACACGCGTTCGCAAAACCCTTATGAAGAATGTCTTAGCTTTGATGGAACCCCGACGGGTCTTTAATAAAAATTATTTATTTAAACGTGGTTTTTCAGAGTCCGGGACCTCGCATAGTCGTGAAGTAACCCCTCAGGTGATCGTGAATGTGATGTTTTTATTGTGTATTAGTCGTGTACACCAAGTTTGGATAATTTATGTTTATGAGAAAGGATGCGCTTGGGACACAATTAACATTGCAAATGTTGCCGAAAGATAATCGGAACACTGGAGTGCTATTTTTGACCTGTTGGACGTCACCGGCCAAAGGAACCCTCATCCCAGGACAGGCCTGGGAAATAACTTACAATGACACTGTGTTTCAGCCAAGGCCTCCCTCTTTGCCTTGCTCTCAGTTCACACCGAGCGGGCCGATCATAAGCCCATTAAAGCATAACAAATGCGTTTCTGACAAAAAACAACGGTTATAATGAAGCAAAGTACGGAAATTAATATGATGCCAACTGCTGGCCGTGGTCACGTGCTGGCAAAGCGGCAAGACAGGGGGATAGGAACCCATCACGTAATCAGGTGGCCTTGTTCTAAATTCCAGGAAGAGCACCTAATCCCGTATCCTAGCCCCAATCCTAATCCCGTTGGAATGTATCGCTTGACCACCCAAAATTACGGGGGGTCCTATTCCTCTGCCCTATCGAAAAGTCAATATTAATTCCATTTGCGCCTCCGAAAGAGAGAGAGAAAGGAGATACAGTAAGCTGCAATCTATGAGATCTGCATTATCCTAGACCACCATTCAACAAAGCACTGTTCACGAACGGCATTATTCCCTTTTACCAGAATATCTCCTTCAAGACACAGGCAAGGAAGGTGGATAAGGATTTTTTCTCCCGGATGACGATTAAAATCAGTTTCCCTGTATGTACTTTCTGTCCGTCCAGACAGACTGGACTTTTAGTTGAAGGAGTGTGGTACTACAAGCGCCGGTTTACACTTTACTCTTGTAGAATTTACCTTCACCACAGAGAAAAATACCTCACTTTGGTGCTTCATTTTTACCTATTTCTTTGTCCCTCGGGGAGGAAGCAATTAACAGCGATTTCTATGATAGGCCAATGATTTTGAGCGAAAGATTTTTCCTTTGAAATCGTAATTATGGAGTCAAAACTGGCTGCCAATCCGAACAATCCAGCTTCTTTTGTGAGCGTGCTCCTCCTCCCCCTTTTCCGAGCCAAGATCTTCCACCAGAGGGTGTGCATACATGCTCGAAACCGAATCCAGGCGGCTACCGTAATATCGCTCCTCAGCAATGCGGCCTCGTGCGGAGTAGAATCGCGCAAAAAGCGCGCCCCTGCGGGTAGGTGGTCCTCAAAACACCCACTGGCGTCGCGTAGGCCCACCTCTTCACTACGGCCCGTTGCCGTAGCAGCCAGGACCGTCCTTCTTCGTCTGCCTCAGTGCAGTCTAACATGCGCACGCCCACCAGCGGGCCGACGATTAAGCGACAAGCGATGCGCAAAGTTGGGAGCAGTGGTTTGAAACAGACTTGGCTGCCTGCCAGGAAAGCTCTGCCAATTGTCTCGTCAGGGCAGCACTGTTCTGCCGGACCATGTCACTCGTTCGTTTAGGTGTTTTTCAGAGCACCTTGAGGTACGAGGATGACTACCGGAAACAGTCCCAAGAAAGGGTGTAAGTTATTGCTCGAGTTCCGTGTAGTTGGATCATTCGCCAAATTCCATTGAAGCCGGCAGGTAGTGTTCATCACAACTACCTTACTTAAGAATCTGAGGGTGGAATGAAAGACACTCACAGATGAATTTATCTCCTCAGAGAATTTATTAAAGCCAAGAACTCAGTGCGGCGACATCGTGGACGTCATGGTTCAAGGGAAAACAGGTACGGAAAGGAAACATTACTATGTAAAATAACCCAGCGCCTGTGACTTCAAAGCGCATCTCTTATCGCATGCCCAACAACCCTCACACAGCCATATGACTACAAATTAGTCTGTCACAAACTGGTTTTGGCGATGACTCGAGGCTACAACGTGCCATTACTTCCTGTGGCGTTACTTATACTGTCAC